AAGTGGCGACATCGTTATAAGTACGGTATACAGATCAAATCGTGGCTTAGGTTGCGCTTAGGCATAAACTTCCTTTCCCTCACTCCAGCTAATCGATATTAGGCTCACGCTGACCATAAATGCTGGTTCATGCGTCGATTTAGCTAGTTGTTAGCAATGGAACAGGTCAAACACGCCTTCAATCGTCACAAAAACTCTGATTGGAAATGGATACAGGGCCTACCCCAAAAGGTGTTTGATCGAGCGAGGGTCTCGGTCTTCACTTTTTTGAGCTAAGAAGTTTCTAGACTTGCGTAATGGGCATCTATTGCATTAAATAATTGAAGAAACAAGTGAGTAAATAAATAAATAAACTCACTAAGTACAAGAAAATAAAAGTTGAAGAAAGCGCAGTGGAAAGCAATGGAAAACTATAGACACCAGAGTACTCCCTTAAACTGGTAAGACGGTTTCTTTCATTAAAGGAGGGTGAAATACTTGGACCACCACCGAAGTGCGCCATGCAACCAGATTTCACTTGAGCCGCAGAAACATTTGGATGTGCGCTGGTACCGTACTCCAACCGTGACCAGGTGAAGGTGGAAATTATAATGCCTACTCGAACATTTTCTTGTTCTGAACCCCGAAACAATTTGCTGAGAGTTGAAATGCATTCTCAGCTGGTCACCTTAACTGTTTGATAGGGGAAAAACAAAAACGCTTCGATAACCACCATTGCTTGGGTCATGGTCAAACTTGTGGACGATAGAGATCTTGTCTATGTTCATATGGGAGGGAGAGGCTATACGTGACGAATTAATCAGGAATTTGCCGTATGCGAGATGTTATATGCATGTTTACATTTACCCCCCATCTACTGTTCCCCCACCATTTGTCGACGTGGGTTTTTTGGATGTAGGATAGGTATGGCGGGTCGTTGTGACGGAGCCATTTCTTGACCTGGCTCCACCTGGCTCCAGCCGTCACTGTCATTTTACACCGCAATCCGTAAGAACAACATGTGCGGCTTGACACTGTTCCTAGTTGTTTACAACCCCCCACTAAACTGTATGACAATGGGAGGGGACTTTGTACGTCGGGAAACAGAATATCACACAATGCACCCTATTTTATCCCAGTCAAGTTGGGTAAATAATAGTGGTGATGTGCTGGAGACCACCTGGTCGGGTGATTTGGAAACTCACATTCTGCTTCCAAAATTTAACTTTTGGAGCTTATTTTTGTAAAACCAGAATCAACATAGCCAAGAAAATAACCATTGATATCCTAGCAAGGTCAAGCATGGAGGGGACGGACTTACTCCATCGACTGCCACCTCCTCCCAAACTTTCACTCCCAAATACCGCCCACATGGACCACCTTCGCTTCCCTTGCCCATGCGAACAGAAAGGAATCCCTCTTCTTAGCTGCAGTATACCATATGTAACCCTGACACCGAATGGAAGCCTTCCTCCTCGAAGGGAGCGATTACGATCTCTAGTAAGGAAAGGGCAACTGGTAGTACTGTTTTTCATCCATCACATCCTTGAACTATGCGCACTTGAAGTCTTTCGGGTATTTTCTGGGTAGAAGTGCATATTTGAAGGGCCTTCCCATCTAAGGGAATGCCTGTACCTGGTTTATACTTCTGAATGATACAAATTTCTTTGACGGGTTTTCAAAGGTCGTTATTTTGTCTCGTTTTTATCATCGTCCCGGTCTATCTCGTAATTGTACCTGGGACAAACGCGCTGCTAACCGAATAGACCTCCTTTTTGCCCAAACAACATGTTTTACACTTAGGATTTAACTCGCTCATGCTTCAGTTAATTACCATCAATCGATTTTGTCCACGTTCTGTCTATACTGGTGCCCCACATGCCGGTATTGTAAGGGTGTTCCCGGATGGAGACAATTATAAATAGGTTGTTATTGCCGGAAAACCATCCCATATTGAATTGTGGGATTCGGATCAACCAAAATGAATGTCGACTGTGTAAAATGTGGGAAAGGAACTTGCAAAAAGTAGAAATAGCAATAGAGAAGAGACAGCAATGTGAAGCTATAAACTCAAGCTCTCAGGCTCGAAACCATGAAGAGAACCTCGAAGGATTGCACTTGATTGCTTAAAGTTGTTCATCTGAAGGAGTTAAAATACACTATTAGCAAAAGTCTCACCCGGTTGGCGATATGTGGACATAACTTTGGCCTCGGACAGGATTTAAACCCTTCCTTGTGCCCTTCTCCTTATCCCTCACCCTTCTTGATGGTGTAAGAGCACAAGTACAGGGGTTCGAGTCCTATCCGATGCCGAAGTTTTGCCCACAAACCGCATACATCGTGAGGCTTTCGCATAAAGTACTGCGGTGGAATAATAGCGATTAACATGATCTCGAGTCAAAACAGTGTTCCTATAGTTCAGGTTGGGATACACCCCCCACTGTACCTTCACATAGATTTATAGCGATGTTTGAATGTGTATTTGGCCTATACACTAACACGTGAGGGTCAGCTGAAGCACATCCCATACCCCGAACGAGCCTGCCACCTTCCTGGAAGTATGGAAACCTTGGCTGGCTACGGCATGTATAAGACAGGGGCTACATCTCAAAAGTACTACTGTGGGGGCGGTAGCGCTACAACTTCAAGTACCATTACTAGTGCAAAATAAGAAAAGTAAAGAAGAGCTTTCCAGTTTGCGTTCATGCGATACCTTCAGAGTTACGAGGAAAATCCAAAATTTTCAGGTTTTCCTATCATAACTGACCTTGCGTAGTTGTTCGTGCGCTATTCTGAGGGCATCGGACGCGGTCGAGAGTGTGGTGGCGCTGGTAGGAGAGTAATCCAGTAATCGTGGCGAAAAAACGTAGTCGCTGGTGTCGATGGCAATCACGGCAGCGGCTGCGGCAGCGGCGGTGCTAGGCTGGTGGCGTTGGCGTTTCTGAAGTGCCATCGATCGAATCGGTGAGGATGAGTCAGAATATCGAGCTGCAGGGAAAGTAAGGAACAGCTAAACCGGGGAACGAACCTCCATAGATGAATGTGAAGACGTTGATGAAGTGGATGAGACTGAAGCATGTGATGAGCAGTAGACAGTAGGTGGCTCTACCGCACACGATGACGGCATCTGAACCATTCCGTATGTGTGTTCGGCCGGCAGATGATCGGCGATCGGCTGCGGGTTGCGATGACTGCAACAAGACCAACTGATCACTGACGATGGCCTGCCGTTGCGGGCTTATCGCCTTGACATAATGAAACATGGGCCAAGTGTGAGTCTGAGAGCGCAAGACCAGCACACATGACCCGTAGAAAAGTGTGATAAGAAGCAATGTAACAAACATCGTCAAGGACGGCTGATGGCTAATTTGAACAGCAGGCGACAACAGGCGCAAAACAGCGTTTCGCAGAAAAGACGTCCGAGACCATGAATTACCGGGGTCAGACGTCTCGCTCGTCTGGGATCACCCACTAGTGACAGGCGTACGGTAAAAAGCCCATAGAAGGAATAGGTAGAGGTCTCCTCGGCAAAGTGCATGTGTTAATATGAGGATTATTATGATAAGCCTTGCATAACAAATGGGCCCCTTCACTTTCCCTCCTCCCCACTCAACTTGATTCTGGTTATAATTAGAAGAGTAACCAAGTAAAAAGAGAAACAAAGACAGACACTTTACTGCCACGGTTGACCCAATAATGACGGGAATTTCAAGTTTTTGATGAGTTTTTTTTACGGACTCATCATGTTCCCGAGTCATTTTGGAAGCATGTTAAGGTAATTAGTTCCCAAGAGAAAGTATTACTACTACCAAATGGGTAACTGATGCCATGGTAACTAAAAATAGATCCCACAACTGGTATGCCGCCGATTTTCGAAAATCGCTGAGTGGGAAACGGGCATCTTGAGCAATCGCCCTTAAAGTTTTATATATATATATACCTGTCCCTTTAAATTTGTCACGGGAATACGCTTATGAGCCGAACTTACCCTTTGAACGTTAATATTGATGGCTAGAACTTTAAGATAGAATATCAGACATTATTTCTGAGCGGCTGCGTTCTTTCCTTGCGGTTTATTGATGGCCCGTTTACGGACCCGCTAGGATAATTACAGGATTAACCACTTAATTAGAGGGTCCATAACAAAACGGCAGTGCCGTTACGCGGAAATCGTTCCGGAAACCTTTGTATCAGATATTCTGAGCCCACAACAACAAAAGTAGCTCTTATAATTCTAATTTTTGATCCTTCTGGATTCATACCAGACAGTCACAGACATAGAGGCCTTGACGTTCGAGATTTCAATTTTTTCGCGATCCGAACCTTGCAATGCAGTTTTCTTTGTTGGGGTAGATGTTAAGGAGAATTGTGAGTAATGGAGGATTCACAAAAACCGGTTTCTTTGAAGGGTTTCATTTTCGCTAAATAGGTGACTGGGTCCGTTGCGAAAGGACAACTCTACATCTCCCTCCAGCAGGTGCATTCGCTCAAGATCTATAGGCGCCAGAAACCTTCCTCAAGCTCTTTTACATTTGATTTTTTTCCCTTCAGGTGACGATCAACCCATAATAAACCCTATAATGAGGTTGAGACTACTATCAAGCTGACTTCCATTCCATGCGTTCTGAGCGGAATGTGGCTTGAAAAGCAGTGTCGTGGGTCTGTCAATGTTACTATTGGGAACACACAAACAGAGTGAAACGAGATGGCAATGTAAAAAAACGAGTCAAAAATACTGGGGCAGGGCCCCGAAATGGTAAATGCCCAGCCTCCGAATGGACGAGTTACCTCACTAATTGGTTTTTATGAGTAAAATAGAATTGAATTAAGAAGAGCCCTTATTTCATGAGCTCACGAAGGGCACTTTTCCTTCCATCATTACCGGTGAGTTAATTCAGAGGTCTATTTCTAATCTTCCCATCCCAAATAATATTACCGTCTGCCTAAGAGATAACCTAGGCACTGGCCAACCAGCGAAGTAGAAACCAAAGAAACATCCGGAAATCCGAGTCAGTAATAGCGTACTTGGAAGAACAACGCAGAAATGTGGTTTTTAACGAGTTCATAGGTCATGTCTTAATGGCCTGTGTACAAAAGTAAAATGACACCCTGTTCGTTTATACTCCGTTGGGGAGGGGAAGGGCGGAGCTTCCTGAGGAGGAGTTTATTCCTGTTTCTTAAGCCCATTAATGTGATATATGGGGAAAGTATAAATTACAACACGGATCCAGAGATTTCTCAAAACCTTTCTCCGATGAATGAACTCATATTCGGCGACCGGAATCCTTAACTACCTGCTTACCTTACCTAACTACCACAACCGCACCTACCTCCCATACCTGTACCTATTTAACTTCATGGTTTACATCTAATAGTAACTGTCTGAATGCTATCCTTATTAAACGATAGTAACAAGTATAACTACATGAAATACAGTACCACCTCACCCTACAAAAAGCAAAATGTACGAAAAATCGAAAAGAATCCAGCTTGGGAGCTTGCTGCCATCGGCTTTCACATTTT